ATATTTTTATTGATTTCAGAGAGGAAGGGAGGAGAGAAACATCAGTGATGTGAGAATCGGCTGCCTCCTGCACACTCCACACTGGGGATTGAGCCCACAAGGTAGGCATATGCCCTGACCAGGAAGCAAACTGTGACCTCCTGGTTCATAGGTCTACACTCAACCACTGAGCCACGCCTGCTGGGTGGCAGTTCTATTTTTCATTTTTTTGAGGAGCCTCCATACTGTTGTTCTCCATAGTGGAAATTTATATTCCTACCATCAGAGCACAACCATTCCCTTTTCTCCACATCCTTGTCAGCATTTGTTATTTCTTGTCTTTTTTTATGATAGCTGTTCTAACAGATGTGAATTGGTATCTCACTGTGGGTTTTTTAATATTTTTTATTGATTTATTATTTTTTAAATTCTGTTTATGGATTTTAGAGAAAGGGGATGGGAGAGAGAAACGTTGATTTGTTGTTCCACTTATTTATGCGTTCATTGGTTGATTCTTGTATGTGCCCTGACTGGGGATCAAACCTGCAACCTTAGCATATTGGAATGACATTCTCACCAACTGAGCTATAGGCCCAGGGCTCATTGTGTTTTTGTGTTTGTTTGTTTTTTAAAAAATATATTTTTATTGATTTCAGAGAGGAAGGGAGAGGGAGATAGATATAGAAACATCAATGATGAGAGAGAATCATTGATGGGCTGCCTCTTGCACGCCCCTAACTGGGGGTTGAGCCTGCAACCCGGGCATGTGCCCTTGACTGGAATCGAACCCGGGGCCCTTCAGTCCACAGGCCGATGCTCTATCTACTGAGCCAAACCAGGTAGGAAATAGCATTCTTATTTAAAAATATTTTTTTATTGATTTCAGAGAGGAAGGGAGAGGGAGAGAGTGATGAAAATCATTGATTGGCTGCCTCCTGCACGCACCCCCCTGTAACCCGGGCATGTGCCCTTGACCAGAATCAAACCTGGGACCCTTCAGTCCGAAGGGCTCCTCTCTATGCACTGAGTCAAACTGGCTAGGGCTCATTGTGGTTTTGATTTGCTTGTCTCTAATGACTAGTGATGTTGAACACCTTTTCATGTATCTGTTGGCCATTCATGCATCTTCTTTGATAAAATGTCTTTTCAGGTCCTTTGACGGTTTTTAATTGGATTATTTGTTTTCTTGCTGCTGAGTTGTATGAGGTTTTGTTTTGTTTTTAATAAAAGTGCGGGGGAAAGTACATTTACAGTTCTTTATATGGAAAATAATATAAGAATAGCTGAGTTTCACGTACTCACAACTGTAAACCTACGTTTGCCCCACCCTGTATTTTGGATATTAACCCTTGTCAGTACATGGTTTGCAGATATTTTCTCCCATTCTGTAGGTTGTATTTTCGTTTTGTTGATTATTTCTTTTGCCGTGCAGAAAGCAGCTTTTTAGTTTGGCGTAGTCCGCCTTGTTTATTTTTTATTTTGTTGCTTGTGCCTTAGGTGTCATATCCAAAAAACCATTGCCAAGACCCAAGTCAAGGAGCTTTTTCCCGTGTTTCCTTCTAGGAGTTTTATCATTTCTGGTCTTACCTTTACATCTTTCATCCATTTCGAGTTAATTTTTGTGAGTGGTGTAAAATAGGGGTCATTCCGTTACATGTGAATGTCCAGTTTCCCCAGCACCGTTTACGGAAGAGAGAGTCTTTTCTCCACTGAGTATTCTTGGCTCCCTTGTCAAATGTTGGTTGAGTGTACATGCGTGGCTTTATTCCTGGGCCCTTGATTCTGTTCCATTGGGTTTTATGCCAATACCATACTGTTTTGATGGTTTTACTTTATAATATAACTGGAAATCAGGAAGTGCGATGTGTTACTCAGGAGCAGATCCAGGATTGGTGGGACTTAATGCAGTCCTGGGAGACCTCTTTAAAAAGACGAAATTGCCGGGGCTGTTGGAAAGGGCCTGTACGAGGGACCCTAAGCTCATGGTTCATGGTCTCAGGGTGTGTCCACGCCTGCCTGGTGGTTCTCAGGCTTAGTGTGCTCAGCTGTCCTCTGAGGAGCTTGTTCAAAATGCAGATCCCCATGGTTGGGATGAAGCCTTAGAAGCTCTTTTGAGCAAGTTCTCCAGTGACTCTGCTCCAGTGCAGTTAGCTGTGAGCCTTACAGTCCTAATGCATGACATGTAATCAAGCCGAACGCCAAGATCCGTACCCTTTCCCCAGGCTGCCTCTACCTTGATTCCCACCACCCCCAACAGGCCACCTTGCATTCCGGCAGTGGTTCTCAAATTTGGTGGGAATGAAGCAGCTGAGCCCACTGACACCTGGGTCTTCGTAGTTTTATCAAGTTCTCAGGTGATTCTGGAACCTACCAAAGCGTGAGAGCCACTCCATGAGGCTTTAGTCTGGTCTCCCTCCGTCCTTTCCTTGCACGGACCAGTCCTTGCTCCTGCCTGCCATTCCCCCACCTGGGTGCTCTTCCTCCTCCTCTCCACCTGTAATCACTCTGGCCCACAGCCAGTTGTCCTTCGCTTAACCATTTGTATGCCGTAAGCATCTATAGATGCAAGCGGCGGAACTTTTTAATTAAATTCAAAATATCGCGGCGGTTAACTGGTTGATCTTATTTGTATCACTCATCTGGCCCGTGTCATACATCCCAGCTTGCAGAGGGCTGGTTTTTTTCTTGTGGCTGTTCCATTCCCTCCTTTTCATAGACTTTTAGTGTTGGGCAGGCCCTCAGAGGTCATCTAGTAACCTCCCTCCCTCCCTGAGCAGGGAGGATGTGGGGGTGGCTGGGCGGGCAGAGGACCAGATGAGGGTGCGGCCCTGACCAGCTTTCCCTCACCCACAGGGGAACAGCCTGCTGAGGGTGACCGGTTCATCCACCAGCGGGACCTGGCCTTGCTGCAGCGGGCGGACTGTGAGTGCCCGCTCCTCCCTGTGCGCTCCTCTGGGTGTTAATTCCCTGGACACGCCTGACCTCCCCGCTCCCCCCTCCCCACCATCTCTCTCTCACAAGCCCAGATACTGAGCCTCAGTCTCGTTTTCCTCCCAGTGATCGTGGCGGAAGTGACCCAGCCGTCCTTGGGTGTAGGCTATGAGGTGGGCCGGGCCGTGGCCCTCAATAAGCGAATCCTGTGCCTGTTCCGCCGGAAGTCTGGCCGAGGTGAGCACTCCAAGCCCTGGATGGCCACTCCCCCCCCGCCCCAGCTGAGCACCCAGCCCTCAGCTCCCTTTCTTGGGGGGCTGAGTAGTGTCTGTCCCCAACAAGGGCTGGGCAGGAGAGGACAGAGGAGGGAGCGGGAGGCACTTCACCTGCCTCTGCCCCCCAGTGCTCTCAGCCATGATCCGCGGAGCAGCAGACGGCTACCGGTTCCAGGTGTGGGACTACGAAGTGGGAGATGTGGAGGTCATGCTGGACCGATACTTTGCAGCTAATCCTCCCGAGCAGGTGGCTTCCTCCCTTGACCCAACCACTTGACTTCACCCCCTCATTAAATTCTTCAGGTCCGACTCTGCTCTGTACCAGTCCTGCCTAAAGCCCAGTACAAATTAAAAGCATGTCTACACGTCTAACTTCTGTCTGTGTGTGGGGTGGGGTGGGCGGGGCCACAGGA